AATCAAGTTGACTATGACAACGAGTGCTAGTTTATTGAATTCAACGCAAAAAGTTCTACCAAAGACAAGTTTAACTTTTTTTCTAATTTAAGCAGTTTACGAATTATATGATAATTAAAAAAGTGTTGATTTTGTGCCTTTTCAGGATATTTCAGGAACCAAGTCGGGTATCTAAATTTTGAAAACGATAATGAATAAGCAATCAAATTCTGCTCAATTTTGCCCATTTAACGAATTCTCTATCTTTAAAAATGTAGAAGTTACCCATACAAAGATTCAGAAAATTGCCACCCTGTAAATACAAAATATAGCTAAATTGCATGTAGCCATTAAAATGTAAGAATAAATCTAGCTACTAAAAGGCTGTTTTCGCTCATTTCCTTAGTTCAATATCATTAGGAGAATAAGAGTTTGTTTGCAGGAAATAACTGGAAAGCTCGTAAATATATATGTTTATCCAGTTAAATCATGTGCACCCCTAGCAGTAAAAGGATCTTGGAAATTAACACACATTGGATTGGAATACGACAGGCGTTGGATGATAGTTAATAGTTCTGGAGCTTGCGTATCACAGAAAAAAATCGGAAAGTTGTGCACTTTGAAGCCGATCTTGGATTTTTCACGGAAGATGTTGAAATTAAAAATCAACGGTCGGGTCATATTAATTAATAAAAATTATCAAATCTAATTGCTTGAGGTTTTTCCAGATTCTGAAATATCAATGCCTCTAGAGCCAGAAGAAAATGCTTCTAGTAATGCTAATTTCTGTAACAGCAAAGTATGTGGTGACAAAGTGCAGGGTTTCGATTGTGGCAATGAAGTAGCTGAATGGTTATCAGCGAACTTAGGAGAATTTGGACTGAGACTCCTTCGACAATGTGATTTTACAGCTCACACATCTGGACGGCACTCTACACAGGGTATTATCTATTTGCATGAGTGCTTCAATAAATTGTATATTCGCTCTAAGTCCCTTAGAGCAGTTTAAAACTGTAATAAATAAAACTACAACATTTTTGTCGAAAATCATAAGCAATCCATCAGCGACCAAATTACCCAACCCGAAAAGCATTGGGAATAGAAATAAGCACATGAAATAGTCAAAACGGGGACGTTTTTTATACTTATCGTATCACGCCAGACGAATATTATATCGCAATTCAACATTCCAAAAGCCACATTTCCTATATAAGTACATTTCAAAAAATTAAGGACAGATGGGCAAGATGTTTTACAACCGAGATGGCAAGTCGATTTGTCGAAATATAATTAAAGTCCAACAGAAAACGTGATGAAAACTAATAATTTATGGCAAGCTATTTGCTCATTCTACCAAAATGCTACTTGTAGTATTTATTCTACTCAAAAACTGGTAGTGAATTTTACTAGTTTTGCCATTTAGCGAAATTCGAGAATTAAACATCAAAATGTTCCGCATTAAGTATCCTTCTTGGCTACTAAAGTTTGAGAGATAGTTTTTCTAAATAATGCGTTTAGTAGAAAGCAGAATACAATATACCTTTGCAGGGGAACAAACGCTAATGTCCCTTGCCAACAAAGCCGAATATTTGGTCATCAACATGAGAACCGCGCAATGGCTCAGAGAACGCATTCCACAAGACGATCTATTGTGCCTTACACTGGAATCCATTCTGTTACGATTTAGGGCGAATTTCGTAGTCGATTTCACCGAGCCCTTCGTAGAAAACGACTTGGCAATTCTTCTTTTTAACGACGTCGCGTTTAAAGTAAGTATGCATTGGCGTCGAGTTGAAGACGCGCACCGCAAATCTCTGAAATTTCATTTTTTCTTGTTTCCTGCTAACCAGATATTTATCCGGTCTGATTCGAAATACTCGAATATATGCAAAATTTACAATAAAACAATTTATTGTATAGAGTTAATACCTTTTTTTCCTTAACTTTCAGATTATTCCCCATTATATTTGTCCTACTCTTTTTCTAGTTTACAGGGCATTGCAGAAGATGCCAGATGATATGCATCGACCAAGAAACAGGCGAAAAATCTAAAGAACCACTTCGAACATTATCCAAGGAATTGAACGGGCAAATGCGGTTTGGTATTTACTTAAGCCGGAACGATTCGTTGGGACAATACTACATTGAAACTGGATCTTCAGTAAAGGGGTAAGTTAGAGCAAACACAATAATCAAACTATTAGCAAACTTACGATAAAACGCTGGGTTTTCAGGTAAAAAGATATATTTATTAAAACCATGAGACATAAATTAATAACAACAAATAACAGTAAAATTACTTAAATAATATATATCACAAAAATAGAAAAAACGTCTACTGGATTTCATTATAGCTAGCCGATGTTATAGTCAATCGAGTATAAAATAAACATACAATCACAAAAGTAAAAAATCACAAGCACAATATTCAAAACAATAAACACAATAGTGTGAGCTTCAATTCAACATCAATTTAAATAAATGTTGACATTCAGTGCTTATGAAACTTATTAGTTCTAATGAAGTGTTACGATGTAAATTATAGAAGTTTTAATTTGTGGTGTAGCATATAATCATTGCACATAAAAAATATTTTGCTCTAGCACATCTCTAATCAATATTATGCAAAATTGCAAATATTTATAAAACCATTTAAGAGCAATTATGTTTACAATTAGGAACAAAGATGACAATTAAGGAAACCGACAAACAATTATAACTGTAACAATAAAATTACTCTCAAGTGTTGGTGGTTCCTAAAAAAACTTTTAGACGAAATACACATCTAAATAAAATATCACTGAATTATATTCAGTTCAGAAATAAACTATCTGGTGTGTGTAGTTGCCTTAAACAAAGTTATTTTTCACTTTTATGGTTATTATACAGTAGCGTACGTTTTTTAATACGTATTAGTCAATTAATAGCATATTAGACTATGAAAAACATAATTTGAAAATGGTTGCAACTTATACAGTAAGTAAAGAATATCACAATAAAAATACGTGGACAACCAGCATACATTTTATTAATATGAAATTGCTATTTTTTTATACGTATTTTAAGTTCGCGCCTTAAATTGAAGCTGGGATTATTAAACACATTTAAAGCAACTCGCTGGTGGGTTTTTACTTTCAGAACAGAAGGTCAAAATAGAAAAATCAAATCAAGCGATCCACGTAATTCGAATAAATTCTGTAAAGCCCATCAATAATTACTAATAAAATATAAATTAACTATGGACAATATTTCAGGAAAGAAATTGAAAAATACAGCTAGAGATTAAATAACTTCGGTTTTACATGGTTTATATCTATCATTTCGAGTATTCCAATATAGGCATACTGATTATTTTACACTTTATAAGTTTAAGATTATTATGTATTCCTACAAAATATATGTCATCTTTTATAATAATTTTTATAACTATACGATCATGTTTCTTTTAACTTTATATGTTTAGGACATCTTAATAGATGAGTCACTCTAAACTAAAAGAAATATGATATATCTCTACTATGGTATAATCGCCGTTCAGTATCGTAAAAGTTTAATTTGCTAAATGTTTAGCATAAAAGGAAAATTTAAACCATCGCTCAAATCAATTACAAATTAATCAATTAATATTATTCTGAACACCGAATTACATCAAAGAAAATTTCACAATACTGACGAAAAGGTCCTACCTCTATTATTGTTCCTGGTAATAATTTAATTTGAATTATAAACATTGTCTAATGCTTACTTGTGATCGCCCTTTAGAGATGCATAACAAGTTTGGCATACTCTCACTGGCTTCAGGATTCGCAGTCTGGATATTTCACTTTCGAAACGTGAACATCGCGAACAAAATACCTAGTTGAAAATAAATATTAGCATTAACAGAGAAATGAACTCTAACCATTACAAAGAAATTCCTACCTGACCACAATTCCTGCAATGATGACGCCTTTCATAGATCGTAAATCGAACAGAGCAACTGGCACAATTTTCGGCACCTTCATCTTTAAGCCAATGATCAGCGGCCCGACCAACTACATCAGAAACTGACCAAGAGAATACACGGCCTCTGGTGTCACCCACGTAGAAAATTCTATGATCTCTGAAACGTTTAATATTGCATAATTAGTCAAGAATTGAACGAAAACTTAGTCATTAAAATTTGAAAGACATACTTTGAAACAGCTAGTGCCGATATTGAAGCTGGTTCGGTATTGTCTTTTCTATCATAAGCAGTATGCATTGTTAGTTTACTGCGAAAAACCAGTTGCCTCTGCCATTTAAACCCTGAAAATATTTCAAATATTTTCATTTGATTCGATTATTGTGATTCGATTCAGTTTTTAGTACTAAACTTATGTGAAATTTGCTACTTATTTTTGTGATTTTTATAGCCGCTTTTATTTTCCCGATTAAATATGGAAGTTAATAAATTTTAAAAATGTAATTTTTATCTTCCTGGAAAATGTCCAGAAAAATGTTAATTTAATTCATTAACCAATGTTTTGTTGTAGGCTTTTTCAAAGCAGTTAATTGTGACCTGTCTGAATAATTTGCAAAACAAATAAATTATAGTTACCTTATTCAATATACAGTGATTCACAACCTTTAGGCTACTCTTTAAACCCTTTACCTGTACATAAGCCAACTGGTTGGAAAAATCTATAGGGTGTTTTCTTTTCTAGAGACCCTTTACCCCCCAACTTTTTTATGGTGCGCCACTGACTTTAAAGTAAAATTTATGTTAAAGTCAACTTTATCCAATAATTAAATGTCATTTTTTATAATGGTACATTTATTACTGATTAGATTCCATAAATCTTCTGTAGTTTCAACAGGCGTCGAATATACAAATTATTTTAAAGTCCCCCACAAAAAAAAGCACACTTATTCAAACCTGGCGATCGCGGTGGCCAGCGTTGCGGGCAATTATTTCTGCGGCCTTTCTACCTAGACATTCATCGATTCGAAACCATTACCCGTATGCGCACCAATGATGAATATAAAATTATTTTGCATGTCAAGAAATGCGCAATGACTACTTAAAACCAACCAAATTGAATTTCCTTATCTCGACCGATTTCAAAACTATAAATGCATCCTCAGTGTTTAAGAAAAACTTTAACACCCTGTATCTTAGACAATATTCATTTGCGGACATACGAATGATAAGCAAAATGTCATTATTATTATATGTATTTTTCATAGTTACTCACCTGGCCGAAGGGCATTATGTGGATTCTGATTTCTTTTCTGATTGTCGACAATTACAAAAGAGTCAGTCAGACTAGTATCTGACTTGCTGGTTCGCAACCCTGAAGCATCTTCAATGTCCAAACTACAAGCGTCTGCACTCTGCCCTCCTAAAAAAATGGTTGAAGGTAAACCTGAAGATTTTCGCACTTATAGATGAGGCTCATATATGCTTAATGCTATTTACCTTCGCTTCTAAATCCACCATGAACTCTGGATCGCCTTCTCCTGACTGGCGGCACAGGTGGACTCATTTCCTCTCCATCACTGCATGCTTCCTTTTCGTCCTGATGTTCTCTCTGCCATTCTTTAGGACTTCCTTCACTTGTTATTACCATTTCAATCTAAAAAATAGAAAGTTTTGTTTATACAAAATCAATTGGGGGAAAATATCATCGAATTTCCCAAAAAAAATTCAAAAGTTCGAACATGCGGAAATAAGTCACAAAAATATTAGCACAACATGATTCTAAATTGCGTGCAAATTTATCTTTCTCCGCTAAAAACTGACTAAAAAGAAAAGAATTGCCAAAAAACATAAATGGAATGGAAATGAAGAAAACGTCATCCAAATGGAGTGTAAAAGCTATTAATCGGCAATTAATCACTCCGAGCCATCAATTATAGGCACAAAAGTATACAAACCTTAACTTTTGGACTAGCATCACCCGAAAGGCTGCTTTCCGAGCCTGATTTCATTAAATTTCTGGCATTATCGTTAGAAACATGAACTTGCTTTACAAGCCGATGATGTGGCGTGGCTGGTTTGACTTCAGTATTTATCTTTTCCGGAGAATTACTATTGCCGTCTGCTTTCGGTTTAACGATATTGCTATTTTTGTGATCGTCTTCAATGGGCACTTGTACATAGTCAAGTGACCACATCTACAAAAAACATGTACTGTTTTAAAAACAATCTCATATAAAGTTCTTACTTATTTAATTTTCCCTCTCGATCACGAATTCAACAAATAAATAATGTCAAGTAACCTTCAAAATTAAATCGACTTACTCGTGTAACTCCATCCGTAGATCCAGTAATAATAACATTCATCGGATCCCAGTCATGAGCTTGAGAAAACGCCACACAGAGTATTTGTTGCATACGATCCGCTCTTCCTACACATGTATTAACTGCAGCCAAAGCGCAGCCATTTATGCTCCAGACGTGAAGCCATGTAGCTGCGCAAGTTGCAATGTCGCCCGTTAGCTCGTTTACAGCTACAGCTGCTACTGGCCCGGCATGACCTAAATTTAACAATTACTATTTGAAACATCATTGACCCAAAGTCAGCCAATTACTAGTACTTGTATTTTATTACCTGTTAACTGTCGCACAAAAACTCCACGTGATAAATCCCAAATAATTGCACTCGAATCCCGAGAACCCGATACTATCACATTGTAAGCTGGACTAGCAGCTAAACAAGTAACAGCTTCAGTGTGAGCATACAATTGATGCTTAATGGTCATTGCTTTTTTTCTTGTTTCATAACTCCATACGGTTACTACCTACAGGAATAAATCATTTTAGGCAAAATCAGTGTGAGCAAAACCGAGAGGAGCAAAAAACGTTATACGGCATGCAAAATACTTACAGAACCGGTTCCAGCAGTCACAATCAGTTTGGCAGATGGACAAACGCATGCTAAAATTTCTCCATTGTTTTGTTCAACATTTTCCGAGACAAAAACAGCCCTCTCGCTTTCATAGTTTCCTATTCTAATGGAATGGTCGGCAAAACCCCAAGCAACGTATTTGTTAAACGTTGGTGGAATCAAAACTTTATTTTGCTCCACCGCTAATACTGATTTGTCCACTTGCAGAATTTGACCAACCGCTAATTTTACTTCTAAAATATTTTTAAATTTACCATCATAATCAAAAACTATCTGCTCTGGATTCAATGTATATATTACATTTTTTTATTTATTTGCGAATGTGTAAATAAAATTTTACCTTTTATTGGCTGTAGTGAAGGTCTTAAATTATCTAAATGATGGAAAAATAATTTATCTGGCTGAGGTAAAGTGAAGGCTTGCACCAAGGAACCAGTATCAATTATCACCGAAGCTCTATTATTATTACCCATTTTCTTGCATGGGTGTGGCTTCTTAAACAATTGCTTTGGAATTTGGCCGAAATTATTAATGAATCCAATAGTTGCATTCTAAAATCATTAATTCATCGGTAATAAATCAAAAAAAAATGAGGCATCTAATAAATGTCTTGCCTTCTTCAAAGGATCGTCGATTTTATAAATATCCACATTTCCTTCGTAAAACAAGTGATGAAATACATTAACCGATTCAACAGCTGGCGGACCGTGCTGTTTATACCCAAATATGAGATCAATCCAATGGTGCAAATTTTGAGAAACATAGTCACATTCCAGGGCTTCTCTGTGTGCCCGAATAAATTCTCTGGGATCTTGTTTCGCCCAAGGAGGTAAAATCACATCGCCCAAAGCTGCAAGAAATTGATTGCTTAGCATGTACTTTGTTTTCTCGGGCATCGAAAATTCTCAAAATATGCTTGTCGTAATTTAAAAAAATTTCTATACTTTTACAAGAAAAACTTACCAACTCCATTCTGTTTGACTCCCAAATCAAACTGATTATCGTTGGTTAAAAATTCGGGCAAATAGAAAAACTCCGGTATAAGCTCCTTGACATCAGCCATGTTATGTTTGGACGCTGATGTCCAAGCTTCCTTAATTGAATGAAACATTCGATCAGCAAGATCGAAGTGACCTCCTTGAAGTCGCAAAAAGTGCTGCGTGAATGGTTCCAAACGAACCAGATAGGAACAAACAATCATGGCACTGGAATAATGGGTTCCATAGTGATATGGAGGAGTGTCTCCAGTAGGATCATCCCATTCCTTTATACAAATTAATCAAATCTGTGCATTTATGGAAATAAATCCTTACCCTAAACCTTTTCTTGAACTGCTCAAGTCGGTCTGGGCTCTGAGCTCCCATGGGTCTCGTGAAATCTCTAAATGTAGAGGCATCAGTCAGATCGAGCTCTTCAGCATCATAGTCAGCTAAAATCCAGGGAAATACTGGGTATTGCATAAGGTCATTGTAAGACCGCCCAGCCAATGTATTTAGGTACATCAGGTATTGGAAGTTGGATATTTCTCCTCTGACCCATCTGGAATTACAACCACTAAGCTCAACACTGTTCACAGCTAGGAATTGGCAGAAGTTACAAATAATTTTATATTCCGTGTCGCTTTAAGTGTACGATAAAAAAAACCTTACCTTTGAGTTACACTCGTTTCACCAATGAGATTGCTTAAAAGACTGGTAGCTTGCTCCACATTGGCTGTTCTTTTCTGTCCAGCTACTGATTGCTGTGCACTATCGGAAATGCCAGTGGCAGTAGTCATGAACTTTTGATAGACTTTGTTTCTTTGTTTTCTCGGGAATGCAAGTAAATAGTTACGTCCGTCTCCTGAAAACACTTCTAAGGCCATTGGCTGCAGTAAGTACCTGAATATTAAAAGGTTCGACATCAGGCGAAAAATTACACTCGTCTGTCGAACTTACCGCCTCTTATGTACCTCCCTGATATCGTCATAAGAAAATTTCGAGCATTGTCTCATTGTCCTAGATCTTCTAGGAGATCCAGGATTCGGCAAAATCGGTTCATACTCATTGGCGTTATGCGGCACACTATCGATGTCCCTAATTTCTCGGTTTTTAAGTAGAGTAAACCCGTCAACTATGTAACAATGTTCTTGGCCAAATAAAAGCAATCCTTCAGTAGTATCGAGGCCTTGTATCCTTGCAACTCTAAAAAGTACACAAATGATTTGTTTAGTTGTTTAATAAAATGATATTAGTAATGGGTCAATAATTCTTACCGGAACATAAAGGAAACTTTTTCATTGTGTTCCAGCAGCCTAAGCAAAGTCTGATTATCTGGAGGTGGTGATGGTTGATCTTCCTCATTGTCATTTTCTTCCTGTAAATCTTCCGGGTCCGAAGTGAGTCTGGTTAAATGAGGGAGTGCAACATAAGGCATTGGGGAAAGTTCTTCAGAAATGCTATCCGTCCTTTCTGGTGGCTCCAGTGTTAATCCACTGACTCCAATGTGTTGCCGCTTTTGAAGGGCTTGGTAATAGTCCTTGCTGTGATAACTTGTCGCAACTTTGTATCTTAGTAAACCTAGAAGATGTTTGAAAAACTATACCAAAAGATCCTTTTCTGTTTATGTAAATGTACGAGTACAAATATGCAATTTCGATAAAATTCTGAAGATTTCTGTCATAAGATTAGCACAGCCAGAGAAGTTTTTACAGCCATGAATTTCAATTGACAATTGCCTTATTTTCACAATAATTAAAAATAATTTACCTTTTTCGTGTTCTATTCGGAAAGGATAATGTATGTAAAATAGATCATTTTTCATGGTTTTCTTGCGCATTC